CTTACATCTATTAGGCCCTAAATTATGTAACTGATTTTAGCTACATATATCAAGGAATACCAAGATTCTAAAGGGACATATTTATAAGGCAGTTAATATGGCATTCACTAAATATTCACAGCAGGGAATCTTTTAGGTGCGTGTGTTTTTAATTAGGGATGTTCAGATACCATGTACCGTACTTGGTACAAGTTCAGATACTTTTCCAGCTCCAAGACTGGACTGGAGAAAGGTTCCAAAGGCAGAAGGCAGCTGTAACTTTTAAGGGCCATTGGCAATGTATGATATTTTTTTTTTATTGTCATGTGACAGTTTTTTTCTAAAACAATACAGACTAATAATTTCATGACAGTGGTGGAGAACCAGAGCCAGGTCCCAGCTGCAACCGATGCAACCCTGGTAGTTCTCGTAAAAAAGGCAAGTATCGGCACAGGTAATGGTATCTGAACATCCCTAGTTTTAATGACTGATTTAGTGATTGATTCACCACCAGGAAGGGCCCATTCACACCAGCAGCTGCACTACAACACGCGGCTGCCTAGCACAGTGCTGATGCGCATGCTACATTTCATTCAGTTCTATGGGCACAGTGTGGGCAAGGCGGTTGTACCACACCATACCCCACTTTGCTATAAAAAAAGGGCCTTCAAGGGAAGATCACCAGCTATTAATTTAATAAAAGCTGCATTATTTTAAAGAGTAAAAATGACTTTTAAAATTACATTCAGGGTTGTGGAATTCCTATCGCCCGACGCCCGGGACAGGCAGTTTCGGGCACTGGGCGAGTAGTTTTTTTTTCTACATTTAGCCCGGCTGTGGGCAAGCAGCACGGCTAAATGTAGTGTGGGAGCCGTTTTGTACAAGTGATTTTAAACGGCTGTGCAGCCGTCCAAAATCACTTGTAACCTGTCTGGATCACGCTCCCCTCTCTCTATCTCCAGCAGCCAGCCGGCCGTGTACCGCTCCGGGCTACCTCTCTCTCTGCATGTGGGCTTCCTTTCTGCCGTGGTCTTCGGGGTCCCCCCCCCTCTTGTGGGGGACCTGTGACTACTGCAAATTAGGTTAGAGAGCGCAGGGCAGAGAACGCTTCTCTGCTCTGCTCCGTGTGAATAGTGACTCAGAAATGCAGCCTTCCTGTCACAGGAGAACGAGCACAGTGCTGTGCTAGAACTCCTGTGTTGAAGGTGACAGGGTCAATAAAGAGAACCTGCCACCTCCAAAAGCTATCACACAAGGGGCTTTTTACTCCTTGTGTGATAGCAATAAAGTCAAGCTGAAAAAAAAGTAAAGTAAAATATATAAAAAAATATATAACAATTAAAAATGTAAATACATAAAAATGGAAAAAATAATACAAATGGAAAAAATAAAAAGGCGATAAAGTAGAAAATAATAAAAATAAATGATAATAAAAAATATTACAAAGTAAAAAAATCTAAAAAATTAAAACCAAACCCTATCATCTACATGCGAATAATTGCATGCATGGGGCATTGTGTGTGTGTGCAGAGTGGGCGATCCGTTACCGCACGGCAATCGTGCACAAAACCGCGTGGATGGCTGGGCGGTCACAGAATCGCACACCACCGTCGATCGTGCTGGCAGTGCCATTATAGTCTAATGGCACCCCAGTAACGCCAGGCAGATTGTGCAGTTTCCCACCGCAATACCGCCCATGAAATCGCACATAATCGCGGTTGAAAACATGGCACGATGAGTGTAGCGAAAAAAGGTACATGCAATTACCACGCGGATGTAACCCCATTGAAATCAATGGGGCCACGTGGCAACTGCACACGGTCGCCCAAGTCTGCACCTGCTCCAAAGGGTAAATTCACTTTTCCAAGTAATTTGGGAAAATGGAATTGCCTGCACAAATCTGGTCCCCTCTCCCTCCCTGCTATACTTACCTTTCAGTGATCGGTCCTTCCCATCCACCAGTAGGAGTGTACTATCTGTACCTGTGACATGTATTCTGAATTTCGCAATATTTTTTTCTTTTTTGTATCAGGACGAGTAGATTTCCATGAGGGTCAAGTAGATCGTGCCCCCGCTTTAGTCCTTGGACAAGTAGTTTTAAAAAAAAAATTCCACACCCCTGTACATTAACGTGTTAAAGCTTATCAAAGGCGATTGGGTTTACATGTACTCTATTCATTTTTAGTGCCTGGATACTTTGAACTGCTTTAGCATGGTTTTCTTTGGCAAACCTTTCATGGATATTCAGATGAGTTCAATGTATTTTGCGGGTTTTACTATAATACCTTTTCTGAATAAAGGTGCCAAAATCCTATTTTACAAGAATATGTTCCTCCACTGTTTTAACCCTGTGTAAGCTTTATGTCAAGTAGTGTCAGAGGTTTTGTAATGTAGATTAAATGTGCTTGTCCTCCTATAACGATGTTTGGGCCCAGTGATTGCCCACAAGGCCTGAGCATTGTATCATGGAAGCAGTTTACATGCTGTCCATACCCGGATGTACCACATATTTTGCAGTGGGTCCACCAGACACACAGTGGCAGTGAAGATAGGTATAAATTAGAAATAAGTATAAGGCTCCCCCTGCAGAACTGCCTCTTAAGATGCCCATACACCTGCCGATTATCATACGATAATCGCCGGTGATCGCGCGATCGTACGATAATCGGCAGGTGTATGGAAGGCGTGCAACCATTTTTCCTGTAAGGTCGCACGTCTTTTGTCTTCCGAGCACGCTCGAAAACCCGCCGAACATCGTACGATGTTCGGCGGGTTGGTAGCGTGCTCGGAAGACAAATGCCGAACGGGCCGGTGTGCGCAAGCGCACACTGCCCGCTCAGCATTGGAATCATCAGAAGCCCGATGATCGCAAGTACGATCTGCCTGTCCAAGATGGGAAGATCGTACGAGATTTTAATTGCCTTACAACCATCGCACAATGAAAGTCGTGCGATGGTTGTAAGGTGTACGGGCAGCTTTAAGGTGCATTATTGAGGACAACACTGAGATTATTTTGGATCCACAGCTTTCATGTCTCTCACTTCAACACTTTAAGTGACAGACCTGGAATATGCAGTCTAAGAGTGTTGACGTCACAGGTTTAGTGATTTATAAACCCTAACAATAAACTTGCTACCTTTTGGTTTGCTAAATATACCATTGCAAGCAATAAGGGCAAAAACGTACCTGTTGTCAGAAATTCAGAGCTGTCCTGCACATACTTCCAATGTTATCTCAAGGAGTGTAATTGGCACTCCTAATTCTTGATGAAAAGAATGGGAGATTCCTGCAAAAATGTAGTAAAGGATGACTAGGCAGGGATGACATCACATTTGCAAAAATGCTTTGTGTTGTCAACCCCCAACAGTACTTGGGAGCTGTGTGTATTTCTGGCAGATCGATATTGTTCTGTAGTTGTAGAGATGTATTACAAATTTTATTTTGCCCTGACATACACCTAAATTTAGCACGAGGTTATTTTAATGTATTATTTTATTTTAGCTACATATGCTCAAGTACTCCACCTACTCCACGTGAATGGGTGATAGAATTAAATTCTGTATGCCGGATGGAGGAGCTTACTGCAGCTCTGTACCACCGCGATGCCAAATTTTATGCTACTTGGAGTGTCTGGTTACATTTGTGCACTACTGATGGATTTCGTAGCCTGCTGGCTATCTGATCGGATACCTCTGTGTGGGGGTGAATCCTTGGGAACCCTGGACCCGTGACCGTACCCCCTTTTTTTTCCCTCTTCTATATCTTCTCTATATTATCTGATTATTTCTCTGTTCTCACCTTATGTGGGTTCTATGGAGCTGCTCAGTTTGATATCACTGGGTCATTGTCCTTCTTTGCCAGGTATACAATGTGATGTTACCATGTGCTGTTATCAGTGGCGTCACAAGGGGCGTGCGGCCCGCACCCGTGTGCGACCATTGGAGGGGTGACACCAAAATGACTGACAGTCATTTTGGTGTCACCCCCTATGAAAAGTCGGGGCCCTCGGTCATGGACTAAGAGCCTGACAGTGTCAGGAGAGAGGAGGGGACCCGGCGGCATACCTCATCCCGCCGGGTGAACGTCCCCTCCTCTCTCTGCCGGCGTCCATGACCAAGATGGCCACCGGCAGGCGTCAATAAGACAACCACGCATGCGCGATGACGTCGTCACGGCGGGGTGTCACCCGGTCTCCGCTCTGGGTGTCACTTAGCCTCGGGACGCCCCTGGCTATTAAGTTACCTGAATATTGCACCCATATAGTGCCTTAAAGTGACATTAAACCCTCAGATTTTTTAACATAAAACAATACTGTAATGTGTGCCTTACTGTAATCCATGGTTGTTTCCCTTCTCTTTGCTGCTCTTCCTTTTAAATCCTCATGTCTTCTCATGCTCTGCAGAACTTCTGTTTTGCAGCAGACTGCCTTGTCTCAGGAATGGATACACGGTGTCTGTGTATCCGTTTGTATAGGTTTGTAACCTGAGCCAGCACTACAGGAAGAGGACCTGAACTGAAAAGGGAAGTTCTGCAGAGCATGAGAAGACATGAGGATTTAAAAGGAAGAGCAGCAAAGAGAAGGGAAACAACCATGGATTACAGTAAAGCACACATTACAGTATTGGTTTATGTTAAAAAATCTGAGGGTTTAATGTCACTTTAAGAATTATGTGTTGTTGGCCCTTTTGTCCTTGGTTTGTATACTCCATGTCTTTTGTGTACTTTTGTATTGTTTCTTTTACTGAAAACTCAAACATTTTCCAATAAACATAATCTTTAAAAAAAAAAAAAGATGACACAGCATCCTAGGGATGGATGGCAGAAAAATGTCTGCCACTATTTTCACTATCCATGCTGCTTGTTCTCTGGAATAAAATATGATTGTATATGTCTGATTGCTTTTTGTGGATTGCTGACTCATATACTGAGTAATGCCATTCTGTGATCAATTTGGAAAATGTAAACAGGAAATAAAAGGTCTCTTTAATTTGCTCACTATGATTTTCTTTTTTCTTCCATAGGTTTTATTGGGATTTCACAATGCTGCTCTTTATGGTTGGGAACCTAATTATCATTCCTGTGGGAATCACTTTCTTCAAAGAGGAAACTACCATACCATGGATCATATTTAATGTGGTGTCAGACACCTTCTTTCTTATGGACTTGGTTCTGAACTTCCGAACTGGTATCATTATTGAGGACAACACTGAGATTATCTTGGATCCACAGAAGATCAAGCGCAAATATCTGCGCACATGGTTCGTGGTGGACTTTGTGTCCTCCATCCCTGTGGATTACATATTTCTCATTGTAGAAAAGGGCATTGACTCTGAAGTTTATAAGACGGCCCGTGCTTTAAGAATTGTGAGGTTTACCAAGATCCTCAGCCTCCTGAGGTTACTTCGACTTTCCAGACTCATTCGGTATATTCATCAATGGGAAGAGGTTAGTGTGGTTCCCCAGATTTCTCTAAAATGTATTATGTGAAAGGTGAATTCAAGGTACCAGTAGCCAGATTAACTGTAAGGCTGTTTTCGTTGACCCTTTCACTGCCAGAGCCTTTTTTGACTTTTTGCATACTAAAATGCACATTTTAGGGCTGAAAAATGCTTAGTATTTTCTTTCTGTAAAGATGATTGAGACAAACATGGATCTATACTAAGACAAAAAACATAAACAAAAAACAACAAAGGGGCAGATTCAGTGGACCACAAAGTGTTTTTCTGCCATCACCTTTTTTATGTTTCTACAATGTGGTGGCTGAATTTGTTTTTTTTCAGTTTTTTTTTTTTTTTTACTTGTTGATCCTGCCAGTAACACACTTTTTCTGTTAGAACGACAATAATCTCACACTGTATGGAGCAGCAGCATTATCACCCTAGGAAATGAAAGTGTCAGAATTACAGAACACCTACCCCTCTCCTCATCTTCAGAGGAGAGGTGAGCAGAGGTGAACTGTAGTCCACAGAGAGCGCAGTGAACAATGCTAACTGATAACAAGAGAACATGAAGGTATAATCTCACAAGATTTGTGACATGATCAACTGGTATTTTTGCACTTATCGCGGTATACTGAGACCGCCACAGCCGCAACGGATCCCGACAATTATCTTTGGATCCACCCAGCTGCGTGAGTGACAGCTGGCTCTGCCTATCCTATCTAGAGGCAGAGCCAGCTGTACCCTCCCCCGTCCGTTCCGCCAGTCAGCGCTAGAGGATCAGACAGGGGGGGGGGGAATCCCTGCAGGGCGCCGTGAGTTACAGTGACGCCTCTCTGCAGGGATAGATCGAGAAGTGAGCGAGCGCCGGTATGTGTTCGCTCACTTCCCGATCTACTGAGCCGTCCTGTGACAGTTTTATTGTCACAGGTCGGCTCAGATTATGAGGCTGAGTGAAAATCACTTGCCTCATAATTCTTCTTTAATAAAGACTGATTACAGTTAATAAGGGGTTAAATGGGAATATATTTTATTTATTTATACTTGTAAGGTGTCTTTAACTGATATTTGAATATTAAACGTCACTCCTTTGATCTACAAATATGAAATGGTAAATACATGAAACAATACACTGTTACCTTGTATTTACTCAATGACACTTACAGACCATCCGGAAGTGTCATTTCCCACAGGGGCGGCTTTATTTTGACAGCCACTCCTGCTGCGCAATATAAAGCAATTCACAGCTATCATTTTGTCAGCCGGTAATTGCCGATAATAGCGTAAAGGGCAGAGCAGCTGGATGAAAGAGATGCGTTGTTAAAACTGTGTTGAAGTTTTTTTAGGATGTATCTCTAAAGGTGCCCACACACCTTATGATAATCGTACGATAATTGTGAGAAATCCCGCGATCGTACGATTATCGTAAGGTGTGTGGGAGCCGTGCGTCCTCTGCTACTGTAAGGTCGCACGACTTTTACCTTAGGAACATGTTCGAAAACCAGCCGAACATCGTACGATGTTCGGCTGGTTGGTGGCATGTTCGTAAGATAAAAGCCGGACGGGCCGGTGTGCGCAAGCGCACTGCCCGTTCAGCATTGCGATCATCGCAAGTATGATCTGCCTGTCCAAGATAGGCAGATCGTAAGTTTTTTTAATTACCTTACAACCATCGCAAAACAAAAGTCTTGCGATGGTTGTAAGGTGCGTGCCCAGCATTATGTTCCAAATCCTCAAGTGGTTAATGAGAACATCTTTCTATTTTTTTAAGGGAGGCCAAAACGTGAATCCTGTCTCTCCCCTTTGTTACACTATGTAATTACAAGGCTGTAATTTGTTTTGCTATTTAACTATTTGACCAACATAATGACAAGAAAATGTTCAAAAAGTAGATAAAAATGTATTACCTGAAAATATTTAACCCTTTCATGACCAAATGTCATTAATGTTTAGATGCTCAGGCCAAATTTAGCAGCATCAGTATTTGTTGGTTAACTTGACTGCAACCCTGTGAGTAACTTGCATGCCTAAATATTTTGTTTTAAGGCATCCATTTTTTTCATGAAACCCTTTTTTTTATCGTCTGACACATGAAAAAAACAAAAAAAAACAAACACATTTTTAACTTTTTAAAATTCATTTTTTTGTAATATTTTTTTTTATTTCTTTAATTGTATCTGACAATTACAATATCAAACAGCTGCGCACTTCGACTTTCAGGCTGCAGTGTTATCTGGCAGGTTTTGTCAGTGAAACCTCTAGTATGCATAATATGTATTTGTCATAGCTGACATCGTGATAACGTGATTGGAAACCATTCTTATTGGTGGGGACTGAATGTGTTGGCTGTTACCTCTCTAGGAAAGGACATTTAATGTAACAGCATTTATTTTGTATGGAAATCGTTAGTTTAGTGATTGGGGATAGGGAGGGGTAAGAACCGTTTTAAAGGTAAAATGTTACAAATCACCTCTAAGCAAAAATGTCTGGTTGTTGGTTATTAACTATGAATTATGCAATCTAAAACCATAACAATGTTAAATAACAATTCCGCATAGAAAAAAAAACTTCAATTTTTCTTGGGTGGACAGGCACAGAGTTTGATCCCCTGCCAGGTTTTTTTTAAAATCTGAATGGAGCTCTTTCCAATGATGTCAATCTGAGATCAGAAAGCTGAACAACTCGCCTCTTCATGATTGATTTATAAATGCAAATTTGTTAACATAAGGTGTAGTTCAATGACTGTGGTAAGTGGCAGAGTGTGAACATATGTTAACATGGTAACAAGTGATGTAGTCTGAATTGTTGAGTAGAGGATGCACATACATGTTAGGACAATGGGATAAAACAATTTTATTTTCATGCCTTCTGTAGTCTTATTATTCTTTATTGGATATATGTAGCTTCTCCTCCACCCTATACTTCTATGTCATAAGATTGATAACTTCCAACTGTGTCTGTTTACAGTAGGTAGGGCAGTCCAAGTGGCCTTAGCAGAGTAGGTTTTGGTGTGACCAAACTGGCGAGAATTTAGTAGATCAGGACTGAGCTTAATGATCAAAACTTACATATAGCAATTTATGTACATTTCATGAGATTGTGTGTTTAATTAGAATGGGAGAGGCAGGCTTATGAAGTGTCTTCTGTCTCAGTAACTCACTTGGTGCCGTTATGCATTTGATGAATATGTCTCTACATAACTACCATGTAACTGCATGTTGCACTTACTGAAGTATACTTACTCACACCTTTTTACTATTCAGCTACACCATGTTATAAAGTACATGTCTGTTTTCTTTTTCCCTCAGTGCCCCACACTTAAGAATTCCCAGGACACATACCTTAATTCCAGGAATCTTCAACATTATGTGACCAGCAGGCTCCTTCTTCATCCCCTTTAGCATTGGCGGTGGGTGGTTCTCTGCTGTATAGACCAGTGCACGCGTTATGATGATGTGAGTCCTGGTCTGTGCACTGTTCCATTAAGAGATCAGGCTGTGTAATGACACACCCCCAGAAGTTGGGGAAGATACTGTCCTTCATTCACTCAGCAGAGGACCAGTGCTGGATGATGGAGAAGTACCTGTAAGACAGTTTGACATGGAGTTCTGCTTTAATTCACTTTCATATCAGTGTGTTATAATTGCCTATATTCATGGGCAGTTATTCTGCAGCTCTACACATCTAATCTGTGAACACATGCCTTGCATCTGATTCCACATTAATAGACCTTAGGGTTGCATAATAAGTAAATTCAATAATTATTGTGGTTTTTATGAACTGTGTAAAAGCTCTCTTGCCATGACGGCCCCTATTCTGTGATTAAGCTCTTTGGAGCAAAAAAAGCATCAAGGCTGTACGGAATGGAGATAGTTTGTGGTGCACATTGTATTAAACACTTATTAAAGCTGAACTCCAGGCAACCAGCTGAACATATGGCTTAAAATGGAAGTATGAGAACTGTTTTACCAGTTAAAGGAGAACTATGGGGTTAGGGCTTTTCCCCATAGTTCTCCTTAGGGTAACGGGAGGACACAAACTGTCACATTACTGTGAGGAGGCGGGAGAAAGGGTGTGGCTTAGTGAGCATCGTGCCAATGGATGCACGCACCTCGGCTCAGGTCCAGCAGAAAACGTGCATGCACCTGGGGTGTCCTTTGCAACTTGCTTGGTAAGGTAAAAACAGCCACAAACAGGAAGGGAGGGTAGCAGTTTGAGACCAGCAAAAAATAAATGAAATGGGGCAGTTTTAAACAAAAAAGTAAGCCTATTAAGTAAGTGTAGACATCCTGTGCTAAATTTAAAACAAAACAAGGTTTTAATATCATTTTAAATACATCGCATCTGATCTTGAGAACAGTAGAGCCTGAACTAAGGTGAGTCCAGTTGAGGTAATTAAGTATCTACTGCCTTGTGGATACCTTTTTACATGCAACCTTTTCTTCTTTTATATATTAAAAGTTGATCGTATGAGGCTATTTCAGTTTTCAATATAAAGCCTTCTAGTCTGCACTCTCCTCTATTCCCTGAAAAAAATAGAACAAGATTGTGCAATGCGTCTGACTCCAGCAAGTTGGTCAGATCTGCTCAAAATATACAATGACTTGTCATTTGGCTGGTTTAGTGTTGCTTTGGATAATTGAGTGGCACATTTTTGGCCATCATTATACAAAGGAATGAGGCAATCTGCAGAACACGCTGCCCTCCGTACACTTCTGCACATACTGTCCACTCTGATACCCTGTGGCACAGTTCTGGAACAACAAACTTTTATTAATCAACTATTCAATAAGAATGTATATTAAGTTTTATTCAACAAGACTGTAGATATAACAGTTTAATACAAAATGTTTCTGGCTTGAGAAGACAGAAGCCTGAAGGAAGCAAACAAATTAATATACATACTAACTACCCTACATTAGCCAGTGTAACTAACGAATAATTGAAAGGCAGACTGTTCTGTGTAAAACTATTAATAGCAACTTCAGTTGAAATGACCCTATAGTA